GCTTACTTCTCTGGGTAAAAGTTTTCTGCTGAGGTAAGCTACCGGATGTTCACCGCCATCGGCTCCGATCTGGCTCAGTACTGCTCCCAATCCAAACATGGAAGCGTCTGTGTGGACGAGAAAACGTTTAGTTGGATCGGGAGCAGCTAACACAGGGGCATTAACAAAAGCATTTTTCAGGAGCTGGAACGCCTGTTCACACTCTGGGGCCCATACTACTAATTTCGGGAGGTTCTTGCGGGTTAAGTCGGTAAGGGGCTTGGCTAGGGCGCTGTATTTAGGTACGAACTTTCGGTAATACCCTGCGGTCCCCAAAAAGGCTAGTACCTGGGTTTTAGTGTGGGGGGTTGGCCATTTAGCTACGGCCTCTATTTTGGCTGGCTCGGGTTTTTGGTGGCCGCTGCCCACTCGGTGTCCTAGGTATTGGACCTCGGCCATCCCTATGTGACATTTACTGGGCTTGAGGGTCAGTCCGGCTTCTCGGATGCGGTCTAGTACTGCCCCGATATGGTCCAGATGATCTGCCCAGGAATAACTAAAGATGGCTATGTCGTCTAAATAGGCACACGCGTACTCCTGAAACCCGTCTAATAATCGGTCCACCATCCTCTGGAATGTGGCCGGGGTGTTCTTCATCCCAAAGGGCATGACCCGAAATTGGTACAGGCCAAATGGGGTGACGAAGGCCGATTTGGGAATAGCGTCCTCGGCTAGAGGAATTTGCCAATATCCCTTGCAAAGATCAATGGTGGTTAAGTATTTACCCCTAGCCATTTTGTCTAGTAACTCGTCTATCCGGGGCATGGGATAGGCATCAGACACGGTTTTATCATTGAGTCTCCTGTAATCTACGCAGAAGCGGGTAGTTCCATCCCGTTTCGGCACGAGTACTACGGGGGATGCCCAGGGGCTATCCGAAGGCTCAATTACTCCTAACTGCAACATTTCTTTCAACTCTTTGTACATGTTCCCCCTCACCGCTTCAGGAATGCGGTAGGGCGGTTGGCGGAGCGGGGTCGGGTCTAGGGTTTCTACTCGATGGGTAGCTAGCGGGGTATATCCCGGGAGGTTGGAAAAAGTGGCTCCTTTTTCCCTAATTAGACTTTGGGCCTGAGCTCTTTCCTGAGGATCCAAGCGCTCCTCTAACTGTACAGCGGCTAGATCCTCCTGCAGAGTTCCTCGGGCCAGCATATCAGGGAGGGGTAGGTTATCTGCGTCCTCCGCAGCTGAGGCGCAGATGGCGGATACCTCCTCTGTGCGCTGGCGGTAGGGTTTTAGCATGTTTACATGGAACATGCGTTTACCCCCGATCCCGGCGCAGGGGCCAATTATATAGGTGGTATCACAGATTTGCTCTACCACCTGGAATGGGCCCTGCCAGGAAGCCTGCAGCTTATCAGTAGTGACGGGTCGTAGGACTAGTACCTTCTGGCCGACCTGAAAGCTGCGGTCCCTGGCTCCCCTATCATACCATCGGCGCTGGCGGGTCTGAGCCGCCTGGAGGTTGTCGCGCACGGCCCGGGTCAATGCCTCCAAGCGGTTCCGAAACTCCAACACATAAGGTACGATAGGGGTGCCGTTAATGGTCGTTCCCCCCTCCCAGTGTTCCCTGATTAGATCTAGGGGTCCCCTTACTCTCCTGCCGAATAACAATTCGAAAGGGGAGAACCCAGTGGACTCTTGGGGCACCTCTCGGTAGGCGAACAGGAGGTGGGGTAGGAACCGCTCCCAGTCTTTCTGGGTTGCTACGAACGTGCGAATCATCTGTTTTAGCGTTCCATTGAAACGTTCGCAGAGGCCATTGGACTGGGGGTGGTAGGGGGAGTTAAGGATAGCTTGGACCCCGCATACTTTCCACAGCTGGTGAGTGACCTCAGCGGTGAATTGGGTACCCCTATCGGAAATAATCTCCCGGGGTATCCCCATGCGGGTAAATATGCGCATAAGGGCGTCTACTATGGTCTCGGCATGCACATTTGTTAGGGCCACTGCTTCTGGGTATCTAGTGGCGTAGTCTACTACGGTTAAGATGTATTTTTTGCCAGACGGGCTCTTTTGTTTCAGCGGTCCGATTATGTCTACTGCTACCCGGCTAAAGGGTTCTTCGATTATGGGCAGGGTGTATCGGTCCCCTCGCTTCCCCACTCTTTGGCAGGTATCACAGGTATTACAGTACTGCTTAATATCCTGTGATATCCCTGGCCAGAAGAAATTCTGCAGCAGCCGATGTTTGGTTCGGCTGATCCCTAGGTGGCCTGACATGGGGATGTCATGGGCGATTCGCATTAACTCTTGTCTATACTTCCGAGGCACAATTAACCGTTTGATGGGTACGGGAACTGATCCGGCTACTATCTTTTCGGCATACCGGTATAATAACCCCTTATCCCAAGCGTATCTTTCCCCCTCTATGCCAGTCTGGTTTTTATCTACCCGGTCCTTGTAAACTTGTAGGGATGGGTCTAGGGCGACCTCGCTACCAAATTCTAATGGGGCGGCCCAGGGTAACACAGTGTGATCAGGGGGGTTCGGGCTTACCTGAGCCTCAGAGTCGATGTGTGGTGCCGTGGTGCGAGCCTGTTGACGGGTGATGACCGGGTAGGCCTCCTGTGGAGGAGGTCGGGTAACAAAAGCGGAGGTTAGCTCCCCCAAGTCGTTCCCCAAAATCACATCCGCAGGTAGGTCCTGCATCATCCCCACTTCAATTTGCCCTGCCCCCGCTCCCCAGTCCAAATGTAGTTTCGCAGTGGGTACTTTGTAAATGGCTCCCCCTGCCACCCTAACCGCAATACAGTCTCCAGTGAGATGGTTCGGGCCCACTAAATGATTCCGTATCAGAGTGATGGTGGCCCCAGAATCTCGTAATCCCTCCATCCGCTTTCCCTCCACGTGGACCACTTGTCGGTGGCCTTGGCGGTTGTCGGATGCCGCCTGTACCGGGTTTACCTCATGGAGGGTGCCCAAGGGTTCCTCTATTTGGGTAGGGGTGAAAGGTTGAGCCAATGCTCTGGCCTGATAGCAGTGGACTGCGGCTCGAGGGGTGGTTGGTGGTCGTGGAGGAGTCCAGGCCGGCCTGGCCCGGTTTCGGGGACAGTCTCGTTGCATATGCCCAAGCTGGTTACAGGTATGGCACCGGATAGATGCCCTGTTGTTGTACCGGGGGGGTTGTGACTGGTAGGTCCCCCCTGGTCGGGGTGAATCTACTGGGGTAAGTCGGGGAACATCTAGTAGATGAGTGCTGTTCCCGCCGGGTGTCCTGATGCTCATCTGCTAACTTAGCGGCCTCTTGCAGCGTACGGGGTTTACGATCTCTTACCCAGATCTGTAGATCTTCTGACAAACATTGGTAGAATTGTTCCAGCACCATCAACTGCGTGATCTCTTGGGACGTGATGGCTTTTGCTGCCTCTATCCACCCGGTGGCTGCCCGTTGTAGTCGGTGTGCGAATTCTGCATGCGAGTCTTTTCCCGGTTTGAGTAGTTTCCGGAACTGTATTCGGTATGCCTCAGGTGTAATGGCATACCGTGCGAGCAAGGTTTGTTTTACCTTCTGATAGTCCCGGATGTCCTCTGCCGGCATGGCTCGGTAGGCATCTGCGGCGCGGCCTGACAGGTTACCCGCTAGCAGGGGCACTTGGTCTTCGGTGCTAATGGCATGTAGCTGGCACAACCGTTCAAAGTCCTGTAAATAGCCATCAATGTCCCCCTCAGTATCATTAAATGCTTTAAATGCCTGATACGGTATTTTAGCTTTTGCTGGCGGGGTGGGGACAGCCGTTGCGATTCCTCCCCCCTCTTGTTGGTTCCTCGGTGTCGTTCGCAGCATGATGTATGCCTGTACATCGTTGTAAACCTGGTCTGCCTTCTGCGCTGCTACGTCTGGTGGGAATAGAGCCATCCTGCACCTATATTCCCTGGCAAACTCAGATTCCTCCTCCCTTGGAGGTGCTGCAGCAGCTGCGACTCTGTCTCCTTCCATGAGTTCTGCGATTAGGATAGCCTTTGTTTTGTTGCTTGCTATCCTCCCTCTCGCTTCTAGTAGCTCTCTTAGCGTGTCCCGTTTTAAGAGGGTATAATCCGTTTCCATTCAGTCCTTTTTAATTCCTGCTGACTCCTTTTTGCTGTGTAGTACGATCCCACCGCTGCCACCAATTGTAGCGGAGTAGAGGTATTATCCAAGGTAGCTCCACTGGTAGACAGGAACAGCAATCCAAGACAGGTACAAAACAGGTAGCGTAGTTACAATCCCTTCCCTCCAAGAACTAGACGACACATAGCTTGGAGGTCAACTGCCAGGTTTATTCACACATTTGCTTTTATGTCCTTTTCCCATGCAAGGGAGGTAACTTAACATATCCAATCACATCGTGGTTACCTCCTCTCCCTCTCCTCCCCTTAGATTAACAGTTAAGCTCATTAGTGGGAACAGAGTTTTCCCCCATTTCTGGATGTCCCCTAAATACAGGGGGTACGGTGACAAATGAGGGGTCCCCTGGTTGGTCTGGTCTGGGTGAGCAACATACTCAAATTTCACCCAGATCAGACCAGGGGTTCGGGAGTTACAGACATTCAAAGATTTGACCGACCGCAGGGATTTGGTAGCCGAAAACAGCTCCATGGATTCTGGCCCTGCGGTCGGTCTATTACACTGAACTGAAAGTACCGAATGTTCAGCCATCCGGCTCTAATCTTAGGTTCGGATGAATCCCCTAGTCTGGGGGATTCATCCTACCGAACGGCGGGCCGTTCGGCAGTTTGAATTGGGCAGTTCCGTGGTCCTGGAGGTCTGAGCGGTGTCTGGGTAGTCGAGCGCCCGGTTTTAGTTCCAGGCGCTCGACGACCAGACACCGCTGTTCGGCAGTTAAGATGGCCGCCGCCACGTGGGTTTTGTGCGAACGGCGGCCACCCACGAACCCAATTACCTCTCTGGCAACATTGTTTCCCTCTATACAGGGGAAGCACACGACCACAGCAGGGTGGTCGTGCATTCGGCACTTTCCAGCGGTTCGCATACCAGGTATTCAGCGATTATTAGGACAAATACAACGCAATAATAATGCAGGTACAGTCTCTTGTGGCTGCTTCTGCCACAGCTACTAAACTGGTTCATGGATTACGGGATAAAACTTACCAGGAAAGGTTAAAGGATCTTAACATGTATAGCTTGGAGGAAAGACGAGACAGGGGGGATATGATAGAAACATTTAAATACATAAAGCGAATCAACACAGTAAAAAAGGAGACTATATTTAAAAGAAGGAGAACTACCACAACAAGAGGACATAGTTTTAAATTAGAGGGGCAAAGGTTTAAAAATAATTTCATGAAGTATTACTTTACTGAGAGGGTAGTGGATGCATGGAATAGCCTTCCAGCTGAAGTGGTAGAGGTTAACACAGTAAGGGAGTTTAAGCATGCGTGGGGTAGGCATAAGGCAATCCTAGACTTAAGATAAGGCCAGGGATTAATTAAAAGTATTTTGAAATATTGGGCAGACTAGATGGGCCGAATGGTTCTTAGCTGCCGTCACATTCTATTTTTCTATGTTTCTATCTATAATCGTTCATAAATCCTACAGGACCACTATAGTGCCAGGAAAACAAACTCGTTTTCCTGGCACTATAGTGTTAAAAGGTCCCCCCCACCCTCATGGCCCCCCTCCCGCCAGGCTCTAGAGGGAGGAAGGGGTTAAAGGCTTACCTTTCTCCAGCACCGGGCTCCCTCGCAGATGGGGACTCTCCTCCCTCTTCCGCCGAATGCGCATGCACGGCAAGAGGCGTGCACACATTTAGTCAATCCATAGGAAAGCATTTTCAATGCTTTCCTATGGACGCTGGCGTCTTCTCACTGTGATTTTCACAGTGAGAAGCGCGGAAGCACCTCTAGGAGCTGTCAATGAGACAGCCTCTAGAGGCTGGATTAAGCCTAATGTAAACATAGCAGTTTCTCTGAAACTGCTATGTTTACAGCAGGCAGGGTTAACCCTAGATGGACTTGGCACCCAGACCACTTCATTGAACTGAAGTGGTCTGTGTGCCTATAGTGGTCCTTTAATTTAATGTTATCCCTAACTCTACCCCATTTAATGTATAAGTGGCATGTGGCTTTAATATGTAAAAATCCAGGACTTTGCATGCCTGCCCAGTTTCTAAATGTATCCAAATCCCTTGGCAGAGAAGCTATATCATGTTCCAACTGTATTTTCTCATCCAGTTTTCTGTTATCTGCAAACATTGACAAATGACTTTCAATATCAACTGCATGATCATTTATAAATAGATTGAAGAGAAGGGGACCCAGGATAGAACCCTGAGGCACTCCACTTACCACTTTTGTCCAATTTAAACATTTTTAATGTACAACTACTCTCTGAACTCTGTTTTTAAGACACTATTCTATAAATTAACACAGATTTTCAGATAACCAACTGATTTAAATTGTATTAGCAACATTTTGTATTGAATTGTATCAAATTCCTTAGCAAAATCCATGTAGATCACATAGAAATCTACAAAATGGAGATAGGACAAAAGGGAGATGTGCTTTAGATCAGCACAAGGGAAGTGGAGGGACAAGATCATAACATAGGAGGCATATAAGAGTAATACAAATTCACCTAAAATAAAAGTGACTCATAATAATAGTAAATGTATGCTTACTAAGGCAAGGAGCCTAAATAACAAAATGGGGGAACTAGAGGCAATAGCATACATTAAGCAATATGACATAATAGACATAACAGAAACATGGAGGGATGAAACACATGACTGGGCAGTTAAGTTAAATGGTTACACATTATTCAGCAAATGTGGTGGGGTATGTTTGCATGTCAACCATGAGTTACAGGCAAATCTTAATCAAGTGGAATGTTATGAGGAACATGTAGAAGTTGTATGGGTAGATATCTGCTTGGGGCAAAAGAAGGGAAATAATTTCTTGGTTGGGATATGTTATAAATGACCTAGTGTTAATATAGATAACAAATGAACAGCTTTTGGAGCAAATTTGGGTAACACGTTAATTATTGGAGATTTTAGTTACCCGAACATAAATTGGGATAGAGAGACAAGTAGTTCAGCAAGGGGAATCAGGTTTTTTAACATATAAAATGACACCTTCATGTCACAACTGGTACAAGCACCAACTAGAAAGGATGCTTGTCTGGATCCGGTTATAACAAACAATGTTGATCTTTGGACCAACACTCACATAGGGGAGCACTTGGGAAATAGTGATTCACAATGTGGTGTCTTTTTTTAAATAAACTCGCACATGGGGTATACTGAAACATATAATTTCAAAAAGGCCAATTTCAATAAAATAAGAACATCTTTAAAACATATTGACTGGCATAAACTCTTTAGTGAAAAAAACACTGAGGATACATGCAATATCTCCAAACACATATTAGGAGGGTACTTTTCTCAGTATGTACCAGTAGGTAATAAATATAAAAGAAACAAATTGAAACCTATGGGGTTTAGTGGGAAAGTAAACCAAGAAATTAGAAATAAGAAAATTGCTTTTAGAGCAATTAAATCAGACAAATTAGAGGCATCATACATAAGATATAAGGATAAGGAAGCCAACTATGCATGCAGAAAGGCTAAACAAGAAAATTAGAAATTGCTAGTCAAAGAAACCAAAACCAATGAATACCATGAAAAGGCAGACATTTTAAATAACTATTTTCCCTCAGTTTATATTAAAGATGATCCTATGGTAAGAGATATGCTGCAAAACAACTTGCAGAAAAAGTGTGAACGCTAAAGAGAGTTAATGTAAACAAAGCTCCGGGGGCCTGACAGTATTCACCCACAAGTACTTAAGTGTGGAAATAAGTCTGTATTTAATCTTTCAAGATTGTTTTCTTTTAGGAATTGTACCAGAGGATCGGAAGAAAGCAGATGTGGTTTCTATATTTTAAAATGGTTCAATATCTTTGTCTGGAAACTATAGACCTGCAAGCTTAAGTTCTATGGCTGGGAAGTATTTGCATGGTCATTAAGGTATAATATTCAGGAATTCATTGAGTAGAACATGGTTATCAGAAAAATACGGTTTTATGAAACCTCTACTCAAAGTAGTGAGTAGAAGCATAGATCAGGGTGTTGCAGTGGATGGTATCTATTTGGATTTTGCCAAGGCGTTTGATACAGTTCCACACAATAGATTAGTGTTTAAAACATCCAAGAAATTGGTCTAGATGAAAATTCTTGTTCTTGGCTAGAACATTGTCTTAAAAATAGATTACACAGAGTTGTCATTAATGGTAAATTTTCAAGCTTTACAGAGGTGGTAAGTGGTGTCCCTCAGGATTCTGTTCTGGGACTGCTTCTATCTTGAAATAGTAATTGAAAGTCATGTTTCAGTGTTTGCAGATTACACAAAACTTTGTAAAGTAATACAATGCAAGTAAGATATTACTTTGCTGCAGAGGGATTTAGATTTTAGACTGGGGGCCTGGGCACTCAAATGGCAGATGAAATTTAATGTAGAAAAATGCAGTTATGATCTTTGGATTAATTTATACCCTCAATGGAAGCAAATTAGGGATAACAACACATAGGAAGGATTTTGGGATTGTTACAGGCAACAAACTAGGCAACAATGTGCAATGTCAATCAGCAGTGAATAAGACCAGTTAGTTATTGTCATGTGTAAATAGGGACATTAACTCTCGGGATGAAAATATAATTTTACCTCTTTTTAAATCACCGGTAAGACCACACCTTGAATATGCTATGCAATTTTGGGCACTTGTTCTAAAGAAGGATATTATGACAGAAAAGGTGCAGAGGTGGGCTACAGATAAAAGTTTTTTTACCTAAGAAGAGAGGTTAACAAATGAAAATGTCTTTAGTTTAGAAAACATCACCGCAGAGCTGATATGATAGCATTATACAAATACACTGCTCAAAAAAATAAAGGGAACACAAAAATAACACATCCTAGATCTGAATGAATTAAATATTCTTCTGAAATACTTTGTTCTTTACATAGCTGAATGTGCTGACAACAAAATCACACAAAAATAAAAAAATGGAAATCAAATTTTTCAACCCATGGAGGTCTGGATTTGGAGTCACACTCAAAATTAAAGTGGAAAAACACACTACAGGCTGATTCAACTTTGATGTAATGTACTTAAAACAAGTCAAAATGAGGCTCAGTAGTGTGTGTGGCCTCCACGTGCCTGTATGACCTCCCTACAATGCCTGTGCTTGCTCCTGATGAGGTGGCGGATGGTCTTCTGAGGGATCTCCTCCCAGACCTGGACTAAAGCATCTGCCAAACTCCTGGACAGTCTGTGACGTGATGTTGGTGGATGGAGCGAGACATGATGTCCCAGATGTGCTCAAATGGATTCAGGTCTGGGGAACGGGCGGGCCAGTCCATAGCATCAATGCCTTCGTCTTGCAGGAACTGCTGACACACTCCAGCCACATGAGGTCTAGAATTGTCTTGCATTAGGAGGAACCCAGGGCCAACCGCACCAGCATATGGTCTCACAAGGGGTCTGAGGATCTCATCTTGGTACCTAATGGCAGTCAGGCTACCTCTGGCGAGCACATGGAGGGCTGTGCAGCCCCCCAAAGAAATGCCACCCCACACAATTACTGACCCACTGCCAAACCGGTCATGCTGGAGGATGTTGCAGGCAGCAGAATGTTCTTCACGGCATCTCCAGACTCTGTCACGTCTGTCACATGTGCTCAGTGTAAACCTGCTTTCATCTGTGAAGAGCACAGGGCGCCAGTGGCGAATTTGCCAATCTTTGTGTTCTCAGGCAAATGCCAAACATCCTGCATGGTGTTGAGCTGTAAGCACAACCCCCACCTGTGGACATCGGGCCCTCATACCACCCTCATGGAGTCTGTTTCTGACCATTTGAGCAGACACATGCACCTTTGTGGCCTGCTGGAGGTAATTTTGCAGGGCTCTGGCAGTGCTCCTCCTGTTCCTCCTTGCACAAAGACGGAGGTAGCGGTCCGGCTGCTGGGTTGTTGCCCTCCTACGGCCTCCTCCACATCCCCTGATGTACTGGCCTGTCTCCTGGTAGTGCCTCCATGCTCTGGACACTACACTGACAGACACAGCAAACCTTCTTGCCACAGCTCACATTGATGTGCCATCCTGGATGAGCTGCACTACCTGAGCTACTTGTGTGGGTTGTAGACTCGGTCTCACGCTACCACTAGAGTGAAAGCACCACCAGCATTCAAAAGTGACCAAAATATCAGCCAGGAAGCATAGGA